TCGCTAATAAAAAATCCCGATTTTCGACTAAGAAAAAATATCGTAGTATGCCCTGAAACTTTAATAAACATTTCAAATTTTGTCCCAAGGTAGACCTTTTAGTACTTGACATTAAAAAAAAAAATATTAAAATCGGTTTACAACTTCAAATTTTAGGGGGGTGTTTCCATTAAAAATGAGTCACACTGTATACACATATATACACATATATACATACACACATATAGACCCATGTACACACATATAATAATTTTATAGAATGTTTTGATTTCTTAATACAGGCAGTTAATAAGTACATACATATATACTCATACATACACACCTACCCTTAACACTATTTAGTGAGAGACATGGATAAGACATATTTTGTACAGCTGTCACAGCTATTCAAAATTTTGTTCAAAAAATTCCCTCAAATCATAAAAGGTTCTTGTTATTAAAAATTTTTTTACAGCCCTTCTGAATTTCGGAGTGCTATGAATATTTTTAATTTGTTCGGTAGATGGTTGAACATTTTCGTACCATTGTAAACAATTGAATTTTGGCATTGGGTGGTTCAGGAGATTAATAAAGGTATATAATGGCCATTTGTCCTAGTATTATGTGCAGTGTCAGATTTTAATAAATGTAGTTTATGCTTATGAACTAAACTAGTTGATTCTAACACGAAGATTGATGTTAACGTGAGTATCCTCTGAGATATAAATAAGGGTTTACATGAAGTTTGGTGATTAACATGGCATATGTATCTCAGTGCTCTCTTTTGTAGCTTAAAGATCATTGAGAACAACGCTAGTGAGCAGGCTCCCCAAAATGCTATCCCATATCTGATGTGAGATTCCAGGAGAGCAAAGTAGGCTTTTCTAGCAATAAGATAACCGATGTCATTTTGAATAACTCTGATAGCGTAACACCCAGATGACAATTTTTTTGCCATTGCCATAATATGCTCATCAAACTTTAAATTATGGTCCAATATAATACCTAAGAATCTATAATTATCAGATTTCATGAGTGTATCATTATTTAGTTGTATTTTGTCGATGTCCCATTTAAATGATAACACTTTAGTTATCTTAGAGTTGAATACCATTTGATTGGCATCACACCACCTTTTTATTTCAGTTAGATCTAAAGAGATCAATTGGCTGAGAGTATTCTTATCTTTAGTGTGCCATTCTATACTTGCATCATTTGCAAATGAAGTGAACCTACCACTAATATTCAAGTTAGTGAGATCATTTACATATAACAAATATAATATGGGTCCCAAGACAGAGCCTTGTGGAACTCCGCTGGTCAATTTTTTTTTCTCAGATACTGCACCCGAAACTTTCACATATTGTTCCCGGTCTTGCAAGTAAGATGTCATCCATTTATGAGATATGCCTCTGATGCCATAGTACTCAAGCTTCTGCAGCAGTATTCCATGATTAACACAATCAAAAGCTTTGGATAAGTCACAGAACACCGCCGCGGTCGCTTCTTGATTATTAAAATTAGTGTACACGTTTTCTAAAAATGTATAGATAGCGTCATTTGTACTTTTGTTGGTTTGGAAATCGTATTGGTTACCATTTAGTATTTTATGTTCAATGACAAATGACATGAGTCGCTTCTTTAGGAGGGATATTGGTCTGTAATTTGATGGATCCTCCCTATCCCCTCCTTTGTTAATTGGAATCACCATGGCTTATTTAAGTATAGTTGGAAATGTTTCCAAGACAAAAGATTCATTTATTATATCAGTAAGCGCAACAACAGCTGCCGGGGGCAATTTTTCCATCATATTTATAGACAAACCATCAGCTCCAGATGCTTTTTTGTACTTAATGTCCTTCATAGCACTCTTTATTTCATCTGGGTCTGTTGGAAATAGAAAGAAGTTCTCGTCAATTCTTACATTCTCAAGATATTACATTGGATTAATATGAATATTAATGGAAATGTCATCAGTAAGTTTAGTTGCGATAGAGCAATAGTAATTGTTGGTACAGTAAGGTTTCAAATTGATTTTTGCTCTTTCCACGGATTCGATTTATAGTAATCCAGCTCTCCTTTACTTAATTGGAGGCAGTATTAATCCTGGTATGATAATACGAAAGCTTAGCCTGTTTTATGACACTGTTATATACACCTCCCTACTTATTAAGCATTGGAATGCCTGTTTTGTGTTATTTCAGATAAGAGTTCTATATGTATACATTTAATGACTATTACTATGGTAATATAATTACCAAAAATGAAACTTAAAACTCATTAAGGAAACAAAAAGAAGTAGATATGTTGAGTATATGTTTGCATAGACAATATACACATGGTATAGGAACTGTTATTCAATGTAGGACATTCATTTCAAATTTTCTTGAGATTTTGATTGTAAATCGCTTGAGGGCATATTTGAATTAATTAATTTTCTTCATTGTTTTCAATTATACTGGGAGTAGGTTGTACAGTTTTGGACCATAATAAAACATGAATCTTTGTGTATGGTTCTCCTTGTAGAGTGGAATTTTAATATTTTAATTCTCGACTGCTCTAATTCCTACTGTTGTACGAGTTATATAGTTGATAAAGTTCGAGAGTATCCATACTGACGTATGTAAAGTAAATTATTCCCTTGATATAGATATTCTATTTTTTTATTATTATATTAAAAATGGAATTGTGTGCTATTTTTAAGCTATTATTGTGGTTGTTGAAAGTACCACCCCATGTTATTATATGGATTCTGCCAAAGAGTGATATATTGAAAATAAGTTTTTTTTAAGGATATCTCGTGAGAGTATGAAATTCACAGATGAGTAGTCTCATCTTTTGTGTTACATATAATACTTGTTTGTCTCCTCTCGTATGTTGGTCAATAACAATACCCAAATATTTAATGGATACTGTTTTTTCTATAACCGGGTATTTACAATTGAAACTTTTTGTGCAGGTCATTTTGTGCAATTTAAGAGGAAGATCAGTTTGATCTTCCTCTTGAAGATGATCACTTGGTGATCGAAACACGTGTTGAGATGTTGAAATAGCGGTTTGGTGTTGGGATACAACTCCAGTAATATTCATCCCAACTTTCACCATTGAAGATTATGGCCATATCATCAGCATAACATACTATATGACCGTCAAATTTGTTAATCTGTGTTTATGTAGCAAGAAAAAGGATAGGCCAAGTACTGTTCCTGAGGTATACCTACATTGATTGTAATGTTGCACTGAGCTTGCTACCAATTTTAACAGTTTGTGTTTGTTCTTTTGAATAATTCTGCATCAGTTCCAAAGCATGACCTCTAATAACATAATTACACAATTTTGAAAGCCTTTGCCAAATCCATAAATACCGCATAACATGTCAAAGATTTGTCCAGGGCCCCTTCTATTTGTTTCATGAAGTTGAGCATAATACTTTCAGTATTTTATTTGTTTATGATCCCGAAATGTTGTGTTATTATATGATGTTTACTGAAGAAATCTATTATTATATTTTTGACAGATTGTTTCAATAGTTTAGCAAAATTATTGATGACAGAAATTAGTCAGTAATGAGGAATGTTCCTCAATTTGGGTTATTACAGCAAATGCAAGTTTGAACAAAATAAAGTTGAGTTTAATTCATGAGTTTTTCAAATTCACTTCAAAAAGTATTCAAATTGATGTTTCAAATGTTGGGTTTTAATTTTTAAAGGGATGTGTTTCTAATTCACATATTGGCAACAGCGCCTATATCAAGTTGAAATAATTTATATGTACCTAGATATTCTACTTTAAAAAAGGAAAATTATCTTTATTAATCAATAATTAAGGCAAAATATAAGTTATAGTTCAATACCACTTTCACAAGCCACATAAACAACAGTTGTTTTGTTATTTATTTATATAGAGGAAGATAGGTTAGGTCATATGTCACAGAATGGCTCGGAACTCGGAACATGCGTAAATCGAACAGCACACCTCTGAAATATGTCATCTTTGTTTTACTCATACAGGTAACAGATTAATTGTCCTTTATTAGCTATTCTACTAATAACTTTCCACTTGGATGGCATATTACTCTTTTTGTAACACAAATTTATCAAACGAACTAGTGGTTTCAATAGACGTTTATACGTATGTTTCATCACTTTGCTAGATATTCCGTCAGGATCTGGTAGGCTATAGTTTTCAATCTTTGAAATTAGACGTATTATTTCATTTTCTATCACTGGTTCAAAAAATAAGAAAGATGTTACTGGGTTTCATTTATAAAGTTTTTGGGTAATAAAGCATTATTACACGAATATAACACATGCCAACTTGGTGAGCAAAAAGTGCATCAGTAACAGTTTTTCTCTAGCTTCAGTATGTACAGAAAATATTTTCGTTCCAGCAAATAGTGTTAAGTGAAGTAAAATAATGTATTATTTTATTTCTTTTCAGTTTCCAATTTTGCACAGACCCCTGAAAAATCACAGCAACCGTCTTCAACTTCTCTTCAGTCTAAGCGTACAAGCACCCCAATTAACGTGAGTGTGAATGAATATTTGAAATATTTAAATTTTCTTGAATTATTTTCCAGGAACCAAAACTGAAACCTATGGCTGCTTCAACACCCACAGCTGAAGTTGCAAAGGATAAAGAAGCCGAAATTTCGAAGGATAATGCTAGATCTATTTCCAAACTTTCCAGGTACGTCTCCAGATATCTGGCAAAAGTTCACCGTTCATTATAAGTGTGACTATTACATATTCAAATTTTTAGGGTTTCCTTCAAAAAGTCATCAAGAAATGATAAAGCACCGATAATACAATCAACCAGCTCAAAGCAACCTGTGAAAATGCGAAACAACTTAACCAGGTGAAATTTATCTTCAAGACTAATTCTTTATTTGATAATTTTTTGAATCACAATGATATTGACAAGGTATGACCCTTTCGCAAGAAACTATAATTTTGAAATAGTTGAAAAAGTGATGGGAGACAGCTGTAACTATATTATCTGGTATTGACTGAAATGAAACTCACAAACTGAATGGAACATATTTATTCAGATGTGATTTTGTTTATATTGTACAGGATGGGCCAAAGAAAACAAAATAAACCTTGATTTGTTTCATATTCATCCTAACACGTCGGTATCCAAGGAATTGGATGAGAATCTTGCTCGACAAAAAGTGAGCCAATTAAGTGGTTTCTCAATAATGTTATTCAAACTTGACTTCATCCTCTAATTTCAATTACTGCATCATTTACTCTTCAAAATTATCACAATATTCCGCTTATACCTATTATATTATGTTTTACAAAATGTATTTATTATTTTTTCTTTATTCTGAGTGATTTCACTAATAATAAAGATGTTGAAATAGACGACATCTCGAAAGAAGCACCCTTCAACCCAATGAAACAATCATTTCTAGAAAGCATTTGATACTGTGAATCATGAAAAGCTCCTCCATATACTGGAATGTTATGGAGTACGTGGGACAGTATTGAATGTCTTTCGCAGTTATCTCTCAGACAGAACACAAATAGTTAAACTGAATGACACCTTAAGTGATCCAAGAACGATAAAAATAGGAGTACCTCAGGGCACAGTACTTGGACCTATTCTCTTTTTAACATATATCAACGCATTCTTATCTTAATCAACAAATGCAAAAGTAATATCATATGCGGATGATACCGTCATGTTGTTTAATGGCAATACATGGACTGAGACAAAAGATTTTCTGCAAAGAGATATGGAAATTGCCAAAAACTGGGAATGTCAAGAAAACACACTATATTGCATTCTCAACAACAGATGTTAATAGACCCTCCTTCAGTAGTATAAAAATTAAGAACATCAAGGAGGAAATCACAGAGTTGAAAGAAATCAAGTACTTAGGGGTTATAATAGATAAAAACTTAAAATGGAGTAACCATATTGACTATCTAACAAATAAAGTGAGGAAGCTTATATATAAATTTTATCAACTACGAGATATCCTCTCTAAAAATCTCCTTTTATTAATTTACAAATCACTGGCCGAATCACTCTTTCGTTATGGTATTCTAGTATGGGGAGGAATGTACAAAAATGCTCTACAAAAACTAAATGTCATTCAAAATTATATATTAAAAATAATATATAGGAAAACAAAACGTTATCAGACAACACTACTTTATAATGAAGACGTTGGTGACATAAGATCTCTATATTTTCATAGCCTATGTATATATGCCTACAAATACAAGCAATATCAGAACCATCCTTCACAGAACTATACAACCAGAAGTACTACAAACCATCACTTAAGAATTCCCAACTGCAACAAAAATATTGTTCATAGATGTTTAATATACACTTTACCTAAAGCATTCAACCTTCTTCCATCCAGTATAAAAGAAAAAACAATTTCAAGAAATTCAGTGTTCTATCAAAAAAATATATTTTTCATAATTATTACACCTTTCTAAAAATACTGAATAAATAAATTAATGCAACATTTACACTTCTTTGCTGACATACGCTTATGAAGTTTTCATTATGTTTTAATATTATTCCTAAACCATTTTTTTACAAGACTTATTTGAAATCCGCATATATAATAGAGTTGCACAATACAAGTGTTCAATCACTTAGGTGCCAAACTCAGTAATGTAATCTGAAATTAGTATAGCTAACCAAATCTTCGATTATATATATATCATATCATATTTATTGTATTGTTATCATTTTCAATTGTATAAATTGTATAACAATTGTATATTGATTTTGAGAATCCTATTGTTAGATGTGCTTTTGTATAATATGATTCATTTAAAGTAGAACTCATGTGAAAAATCTTAACCCTGATGCGTTTTTCATTGTTGAACTAGTACTAATTTATTAGTTGAATAAAAAATTATTATAAATATTTTTCGGAAAAAAGGTCAATTGGAAATGACTTAGTGTACTCGCGTGATGGTGGTGATTATTTCAGACATTGCCCCTACTGTACAGTTAAGTAAAGTTACTAGGAGATGCTATACTTTTCATCTTAAATTTGCCAAATAACTTTAGTCTTGAAAATTGAAAATTTGTCAAAAATATTTTTCGAAATGCAACAATTATAATTTATAATGATTGTGTTACATTATATAGGGTGTTTTTTTATAAAGGTATAGAACTTTAAGTTGGCAACACTTTTTAACTGGCGGCAATTTTGTCAGCAATCAAGTGATTTTTGGTTAGTTTGGTTTGGTTCAACATGAATAGATTGACGCCTGAACAACGCTTCCAAATTGTGCCGTTGATCCCGATTTTCATAAGCGAATATTGTTTAGCGATGAAGCTCACTTTTGTTTGAATGGATACATCAATAAACAAAACTGCCGTATTTGGAGTTGTGATAATCCTCAAGTGTATGTTGAGACACCATTACATCCAGAAAAACTGACTGTTTGGTGTGCTTCATGGGCTGGTGGAATCATTGGTCCGTACTTTTTTAAAAAGGATGCTGCTCAGAACGTTACAGTCAATGGTGACCGCTGTAGAGCCATGATCACTGATTTTTTCGTTGATCAATTGAATAACCATGATGTGCAAGAGCTGTGATTTCACAGCTCTTGCACAATTGTGCCACAATTGATTTATTGAAGGAAACGTTTGATAACCGCATAGTTTCACGGACCCGTGAATTGGCCTCCAAGATCGTGCGATATAACGCCGCTAGACTATTTTCTGTGGGGATATGTGAAGTCGCTAGTCAACGCTGATAAGCCTGAAACGATTGACCACTTGGGAGGACAACATTCGCCGCGTTATTGCCGTTATATGGCCGCAAATGTTGGAGGAAGTCTTCGAAAATTGGACCTTCATATTAGACTATGTCCGAGCCAGCCATGGCAGTCATATGGTAGAAGTCATATTTGGATTATAATGCCAGAAGGTTTTCTTTCAAATGAAGTGAATTTCATGTCAATTCAAAAATTCATCTATGTTTTATTCCATTTCAGATTTTTATGCCTCTATAAAAAACACCCTATATTACCCTTATGAATGGATGATGCTCTTACCAATTTTTGTAACCACTGTAATAACGAATTCAGCAATCTATTACAATACAGGTCCGTATTTGAAAAAATAAAGTTGATGAAATCTAACGAACTGAATGTCGTATTGTAAATCTATTTATATCAGATTATGGCAAACAGTATTGAAAGTTCCTCTGCCTTTTTTTTTATATAATTCGAAATGGAAGTGGTAGAGTCGGAAAACGAAATTCGACAATTCTGGTTTTTGGCAAATATTTCAAAAACAACCACTGTTATTCTTTGTGTTATGCCTTTAAAAAAATAACGGAACAGGGGTGTTTTCGACAGAAATGGTCATGTAAGTATAAAAAGAAAAATAAATTTGGCTTTCACCTAACTGATTTTCAAAAAGCTGTATTAGTTGATGATCAAAAAGGAAAAGGCACCAAAACAAGCATGTTATATAAGTGAGTATGAGTCTCTACTTAATTTATTTTTCTACTATTGGGTTTCAAATTTGTTATTAGTTTTTTTAAGAACATGTAAATTGTAACATTCTAATCAGCACTCAAAACATTTTTATTATGTTAGGTATATGTGTCAAAGTTTCAGTAATTACTTTAACATTTGCATAGTTCAGTCAGTTTTTCATATCATCCACTTACTGGAAAAAAAGAATCCAATATATTGCTTTGCTGACGACAGCACACTTGTCTAGTCATTTCATTTGGATTCCAGGACATTGGCTCCGGATGCACATCTTCACCGTTAGCAGGAGGTTGTATATCTTAATGAGGATCTAGAAGTGATTTCAAATTGAGGTGAAACTAACAAGGTTCAATTCAATGCCACAAAAACCCATGCATCGGTTTTCTCCAAAAAGATGAATGTCTCCGAACTGAATTTATTAATGCCAGGACAGACAATTCCGCTTTCGGCTTCGATAAGTTGTTGGGGGGTTGAAATGGACACCAATATGTCTTGGCACAATCATGTGGCTGGAATTGCAAAGGCTGCTTCTTAAAAGCTTGGAACACTGTTCCGAACAAGAAAACTGTACACACCTCCGCAACTTTTGATGCTTTATAATGCTCAGATCAGACATTCTTTGGAGTATTCATCTCAGGTATGGAGCTCTGCCCCTAAGCAAGCCCTAAAGCTGCTGGATTCCATCCAGAAAAGAGCCATTCGCCTGATTAGAGACGCAAATATCATTTGAGACTTTGTTAGTCTGGAACATCGAAGAAAGGTTGGAGAGTTGTCTCTTATATATACTTATACGGAAAGTGTTCAAGTGTCTTGGCACATTTGATTCAACCAAAGGCGGTACATACCAGAAATACGCGACAGACTGTGGCTGCTCATCGTTTTGAGGTTCAACCCAGTACAGCACGAATTTCACTGTTCAAGAATTCTTTCATTTGGAGAACTGTGTTTATATGGAATAAACCTCTTTTTTTTTTGAGCTGTTTGACTTGTCCATTTAGTACAAGTCTCCAGAAAACACTGCAGCCTCTTAGGCTTATTGCGTTTATTCTCCCATCTTCTCATGACACCCATTCCATCAGTCTCGTTCCCTGTACTAGTTTGTACAGGTTCCGTGTTGGATGTTCCTCATATTCTTCTGGGCGTAATTTTGTACGCCGATATATTGCCTGCCTCCTGTGATTCAGTGCCTCACATTCGCATAAGGTGTGTAGAGCTGTTTCTATTCTTTCGTTGCATAATCTGCAGCCGAGGTCTCCGTTGTACAGCCCCATTTTATTCAGGTGTCCTCTAAGCGGACAATGACCGGTTAGTAACCCTGTAATTATTCTGATCCGATCCCTACTATATTGAAGTAGTTCTTCGGTTCTTTTCTCGGATGGTTCCCTAATGAAGGTTCTACTGTTTGTTGCCAGGTACTTTTGTCCAGTACTCTGTGTGCTTCTTATTGGTCCATATCCTAATCTGGTTTCGTACCAGTGATTTTGATACCCCCAGAGCTGGTTCAGGACCTATATATGAAGTTGATGATCCGTGTCTAGCGCATTCATCAGCTTTATCATTACCTGTGATTCCTGAATGCCCTGGCACATGGCATTCCCAGACCAGTTTTGATGTCATCTTCGGGTTTGTCAGAGCCCTTAGTGCGCTCTTGCTGTCTGTTAAAATATTAATCCGCTCATTTCTTTGAGATCTCAATTTAATAAGTCTTGCACACTGAAAGATAGTATACATTTCCGCCTGAAAGACGGATGTGTATAGTCCTAGCGGATAACTGTAGTTTAAATTTCTATCCACTCGGTATATTCCAGCTT